TGACAGTCACCCATCCACATAGATATGTTTACAAAATATTTAGTTAGTTAGTTAGTTACTTACTTACACTAAAAAATGCTTGGTTGTTTCAACCCATGTTTGGGTCAAATATGGAATAAAAACAAAATTCAAAAATGTTGGGTTTGTCCATATTTGACCTAAACATAGGCTGAGTAGGTTTTAATCTTTTTAATTTTTAATTTAATAGTTTTTAATGTAATTTTATAGTCACGAAAAAGTACTTTAGTTTCAGTTTTTCCTTGTAAGGTTAGTTTTATTTTTTATTTCAGTTAAAATAAATTTTGTATTATTATTCTAGTTCTAGTTCTGCACGGATTCACAAATGATCTGAGGATGGACACTTGCTTTCTGACAGAAAATCAATGAAACTGAATCATTGCTGTTCCTAAAACTCATTGGCAAATAATGTCCATTTACATCCAGTTTAGATCAACTCCATTTTAGTTCAGAAACAATAAAAAGAAAGAAACCAGAAAGAAGAAAAAAAGACAGACCCTTTTTTACAGTTTTAAATGGGATTATCTGAAGAATCTGTTGAAGATGTTATCAGTGTGCTTGTTCGTACTCTTATATTGGAGATGTGATTGCTTGCATGAGCCTTAGAGCCAAACTGTGATTTATGATCAGCTCAGTTGTTTTTGCATGACTCATTTGATGGTATTTTCTGAACGGGGCCAATCACTGCCAAAAATCATAAAACTACACACCTGTGTGTCGACCCACATACACCCTTCACACCTGTGCGCGTGAAATGAGAACAAAGAAATCTGAAAAAAAAAAAAAAAAAATCTCCACCCCATTTGAGTAACAACATCAAATATCTGTCAAATTTGCAGCAGGCACATCCAAACTGCAGAATTCGCATAGACGCACCGCTGAACAAAAAGTGCTTATCGCATGCAGGTACAGGATAGCACACAGGCTAACCTCACCGTAATGTCCTAATCAAACCGCCCATTTGTAGCTGTACGGTTGTAAATGATCTCCTGGTGGGCTAATGCAATTAGCATTGTCTCCTGTCTGTGTACCCAGCATTTTAGCCCTACATCTATCAGCGTAATGGTGGCGGGCAGAAGCTCTGATGTTGTCTAATAAGGGCATTTTACTCCCTTTAAGAGAGGGGGGCAGGTAATGTACGACCTTGGAGGTGAAGTCCATCGCCGTGCTATAAACCACAGCGATATGTCAAAGAGAGGGAAAGTCCAACTAAAAAGAGGTTTTAATCATTTCATTTATCAGTTCCTTCTTGCTTTTCACTCCCCCTCTCCTCTAGTTTATCTCAGTTGGAGGAGGATACAGAGAGCGAGGGAAATCGATGCGGAGAACATTACAGTAAAATGTATTGATCAGACACAGAGAGAGCCTTGCGTGCTGCCCAGATATGGCCTAGTGATGCAATGCTTAAAGGAATTTATCCACTGCCTTCTGCATTAACCTTTTATTGACTGCTTGCCTGTCCATAATTAACACTCACTTTAGCTAAAGTGGTTAGTTTCAGCTGGGAGGCCAGGTGTGCGTGTATGCGTTGCATTGTTCGCAGACCGAGTCGAAGTTCAAGTGCACCGAATGTGTCGGGTGGGAGTATGTGAGCCACCCCCCAGAAGAACAGAGGTGATAGATCTCCTTCCCTCCACATTAGCTCGCTATTCCAGCAGGCCTGGCTGTAGGGTTATAGGGTTTCAGAGCAAATTGAAATGAGTGATTGTAACGTCGATCTCTCCTGAGCGCGGGTCAGATGGGAGAGGTAGACTGCATCTCGCAGAGGTTAATCTGTATGGATGGTTGGCATACACTTCCAAATATACTTCCAATAGTGTACACACACACACACACACACACACACACGTTGTGTTTTCACGTTTTATGGGGACTTTGCATACACATAATTATCTTTATTCTGTACAAACTGTATAGTCTATCCCTTTACACTAACACTACCCCTAAATCTATCCATCACAGAAAACGTTCTGCTATTTTACATTTTCAAAAAAGATCATTCTGTATGATTTATAAGCTGTTTTCTTCATGGGGACCAAAAAATGTCCCAACAATGATTTCGGATATTGCCATCTTTGTGGTGACATTTTGTCCCCATAATGTAGGGTTTACCACACTTTGACTGCAGATGGGAAGTAATTCAACATTATGAAAATAAAAAGGTCTATATTTTGGGAGGTTGCCTAACATCTGTCTGAATTTATTTACTCTCACCACAGATAATGCTGTACCATCTTAAAGGGAAAATCCCATCCTGATTTACTCACCATCTTGTTTTTCAAAACTCTTATGACTTTATTATTATTAGTGTTATCATTATCCGTGGAACACAAAAAGAGGTGTTTTAATTAAAGTCCAAGCTGCTGTTTTCCTTACAATGAAAGTAAATGGTGACCATGATATTTTGGTAGTAATTAGTACAATTTTGGTCTCGCCTACACGCAAAACTGTTATGTGACACCATAATTATTATAATATAGGGCGGAAATGTTCTTCTACTTATCTGTTCTTTTTGGAGCTTCACAGTTCCAGGTCACCTTTCACTTTTATTGTATGTAAAAGAGATCATTCTAATATTCTTTCAGAAATCATTCTAATATGTTGATTTGGGGCTCAAGAAACATTTCTTATCACAGTTGAAAACAGTTGTGCTGCTTAATATTTTTATGGAAGCCGACATTGGGAGTGTCTTTACTGTCCATTTTGATCAATTTAATGTGCCCTTTCTAAACGTAATTCTGAACGGTAGAGTGTATGTTAATTTATACAGCCTTTAAATGCTGTAAAAGTATTGTTTATTGTTAGAAAAACAGCTTGGACATTCTGCTAAACTTCTCCATTTGTGTTCCACCTGTCGTTCACAAGTTAGAAACAACATAAGAGTGAGTCAATGATCCCAAAATGTTCAAACAATCCCTTTAAGTGTGTATGTGTGAGTGGATCTTCATGGCTAGCATTCATTCCATTGTGGTCTCTTTCACCACAGTCTATTTACTTCAGTTACCTCTTCTCTGTCTCTTCCAATAATCCAGTAAATGATGAGAGAGTTTAAACACACACGCATGCGTGTATAGAACGAGCTCTCATATTATTTATGAACTGATGTGCTACATTAGGGTACTTAGCGCATGTTAACGGATGTTATTGTCAAGCCCCTGATGCAGTATGAGGATGATATATCGAAGCGCTATATGCTAATTCCACCCTCGGCGTGTAATGCAGCCTCTAATGTGGCTGGTGCAGTTGGACAGACAGCACTTAACAGGAGAGCCACTCTTCCATTAAGTGGCCCTTACAAAATATATAACCACAAATAGTGTCAGAGAGGGGCTGTCCTCTGACCACGGGACAGCACAGACTCATCCATAACATTGGCCTCCTCTGGGCACCGCTGCAGTCTTTGAGTGGATGAACATGAGTGTTTATTATAGGCTATGATTGCTTGAGACAAGCGTTTGTGCCAGAACTTTGTATATTTGTGAGGATAGTGATTATTCGTGTAAGTCTGTAAAGTGTGTCAGCCCCACGCCACTAATGATGCTAAACTGATAAAAAAAAAAAGAAAAAACGTTATTTGAAGCAATTTTGAGTGATGCTTTCTCATGCAAACCTCCCCACCACAATGCTAGGTTGCTGTGTGTGGTTGCCAAGGTGTTGCTATGTATTTGCTATGGTAGTTGCTTACAGGATCAAGTCCAAAGAATCCACCCATCCCAAGTCTCTATGATATTCTGTTTCCTAATTTTGGCTCATAATTTTTCCAGATATTTTAAAGTGAAAAATGACACATTTTTGAAGAAGTCTCTTATACTCACCAAAGCTGCATGTATTTGGTCAAAAGTACAGTAAAACAGTAGCTACTATTGTGGAATTATTACAATGTAATAGTTTAATATTTTATTTTATTTAACACATACACACACAGTTTCTTCATATTTATGAGAAGCTATGTTGTCATATTCTTGTGAAAAACCACACTGTATATTACTTAGGTGACAAAATGAAATGCTGCAACATCAAAGTTACTTTGGAATTAAAGCCACAGGCTTCACTTGCCGAAGTGTAAATGATTGAGATATTAATCAGCACTGGCCAGGTGCGTTTAGAAGGTGATTTACACTGCTTACACTTGTAGGGTTGCAGAAGTGCATTCCTAAGGCTTCCTTCAAAGGAGGAGCAAGGGGATGATGCCATCACACACACACACAAAAGCTGCACAGTCCTTGCTTTTTATAAACGTGCCATTAGGGCAGGTTATTGTGTGTTGTAAAGAAATCAGGAAATGTGTGTGTGGACTGCCCCTAGACAAACACACACACACACGTCTTTGTGTGTTTAAGGCGAAATTAACTATTCATGCACACCCTGGAAAGCACACACGGTAGCCTGGGGGTGTTTTCGAGTCAGTTAAGAAATTTTCATTGTATACACTACAGTTAAAAAAGTTTGGGGTCAGTAATATTTTGTAAAGTCTGTAAATTGTCTTTTTTTTATTTTTATTATTAGAATTTAAAATAACTGGTTTCTATTTCAGTAAATTTTAAAAAGTAATTTATTTCTGTGATGGCAAAGTTGTCGTCATTGTCACTTGATCTTTCAGAAATCTTTCTATGCTGTTTTGGTGCTCAGGAAGCATTTCTTATGTATATCAATGTTAAAAACTGTTGTGCTGCTTAATATTTTTGTGGAAACCTGGGGTACATTTTTGATGAATACAAAGTTCAAAAGAACAGCATTTATTTGAGACTGAATTATTTGTAGCATTATAAATGTCTTTCTTTCTTTCTTTCTTTCTTTTGATCAATTTAATGTCTTTGATGAATACATTTATTATTTTTTCAAAAAAAGAATCTCACTGACCCTAAACTTTTTAACTTCAATGTAAAAATATAATACATATTACTTGTTTTTATTTAGTTTTATATTTTTTATATTATATCTATCAAATTATCAAGTTTTTAATTCCTTTTCTGTCCCAACAGATGCCAATCCAGCCTGGCACAGAGCTTGCCCCCTGAGGAAGCACCTGTCGACTGCCCCTATTGGAGTAATGACGATCCTGACATGCCCCTCCCCTTTGACCTCTCTGACATCATCAACCGCGTCGAGTCACTTCTCTGGAGGTAAAGTTGAATTACTGTGTTTTTGTTGACGTCTTATTGTTTTCTTTAATTTAGAGATTGGTATTAAAATAATTGAAAGCGGCCTTAATTAACAAATTATGATGATCAGATTATTATGATCAATCATAGATTGATACAGTAAAGCATAAATTCTCAAAATGTGACTTACTTTCGCTTTTTCTTTTCTTCTAGGATGTAAGATGTTAGTAAAAGAGGGAGATAAATGAAGAGAAAGAATGTTTTGGGTGGATGTTAGGAGATAGAGGCCATGATGGAGATCACAGGTGACAAAAAAACAGTACAACACACACCTGTTCAGTTTCTCCTTTCTGGCCCACCTTTGCCTGAAGACCAACACTCACCTTCACACACACCACATTGAGGTCCGCTCGGATGGACAGACGGATATAAGGATGGAGACCGGGGTGCATACAGGGTGACATCTGGACGGGACATTTTATTTCCTATTTCCATCAGTATCGTTTACTATCACTTTAACAGAGTCTGTAGTGTTGCAATGACCATTCATAGACGCATATCAGTAGTAGCATACAATACCTATCCATAAATATACGTATATATAAATATATATCCATAAATGTATGTGTTTTACTTCAGTTCTCCATATATCCTCTGAAGCTTTTTTTGGACAGACATTATATAGATGTACACACAGTATACACAGTTCACTTCTCCTCTATGTGTGTGTGTGTGTGTGTGTGTGTGTGTGTGTGTGTGTGTGTGTGTGTGTGTGTGTGTGTGTGTTTGTCTGCGTGCCATCTTTTGAGGAAGAAAGTCGGTAAAATAGGATATGAGATTGTGGAGGTATGATGACATCATTAACGGGTGTCATATGCGTGCTGTTGCCTTTTACCTGGCGTTTTGTCTAGGGATTTAGTATGTTTGAATTTGCCCCAAGTGTGTTTAAACGCTTGCGTGCACGTCCTTCTGAATGTTTGTAGGGAGAAGGTAAAGATACTGTTGCTAGACGGACTTTGTCGATGATGTTTGTCTATATAGGTGCATGTAGGTAAGAGGCACGCACATGTGTATGTAATCGTGTAGAGGGTTTTATTTCTGTGTGACTGAATTTGAGTGTGTGTGTATACATAAGATGTTTCTCTCCCAAGCCAAGTAGTGTCATAGGCGGCTTTTACTGAACTCCCAAGAGAACTTACACCCCTTGTGTCGCATTATTCTCGCAGCTCATTGGCTCTTAACCTTTTAATAACGCCTGCCTATGTCTGAAATGCTGCCAGTTTCGGGAGGAATGCACTCGAACATCTTTTAACGAGTGAAGGAGGAAAAGCACTCTGTCCTCTAAATGAATGAAGAATGAATGAAAAAGGGATGACTGTTGTCCAGCAGCTTTCTTTTTGTTTTGTATGCTTTTCTATGTCATCAGTGTTAATGTAGAAGATCCATATGATAGTATTCGATGAAGATGCTTAAATGTGTTTTATACTTTTGAAGTTTTTGAGTTGTCATTGGTTGCCAAAAACTGTGTTCTTGCTGAGTAAATGCTGTGAGGTTGGTATATAAATATATTATGTGTATAAATAATCTTTCTTTCATTGTGTTTTTTTTTTTTTTTCTCTGTATTCTTTTCCGGAGTGCCACAAGCCCCACTGCTTTTCTGAAAGCATTGTGTGTGCAAAGCACTAGTTATGATAGAAATAAAATGCAATGCTGGTTTATCAATCAGTACATGGTTATTCATTATTTTTTGTATGAAATTCTATGTGTACATTAGTAGCAATTTATAAAAAAAATATTAAAAGTGATAATTTATCTGCGCATTCAGATAGTTACTCAATAGCAGTCACTATCAAATAACCTATGGATATTTCAGCCATTATATAACTTTTTTTATGGTTAATTAAGGGAATTTTTTATGAAATACTGTAATAGAAGTGTTACCTATAATAACAGTGGGATCCAAAAGTCAGAGAGCAGTGAAAATGCCTTTACTTTGCTCAGATTTAATTCAATGTTTTGTTTTGTTGTTGTTTGTTTTATATTATAAATGACTATGTCAGCATTTGAGGGAAAAGTTGAATTTAAAATTTCAGAATGGTTTAGTACCGTATTTGGTTTATTGACTTGAAGTCCAAACAAGAAAATCTGGTATCTTGTACAAATGAGCTCACGTGATCCGTGCCAAATATATATATATATATATATATGTGTGTGTGTGTGTGTGTGTGTATTTATATCCTTGTATATTTCTGTCCTCTCAGAGCTATTATGGGGACCAATAGACTCATTTGACCTCTTGTCTCAGCTCTCTCTCTCTCTGAGTTTGTGTGTGTGTGTGTGTGTTGCCTGCAGGGGTTGGAGGTGCTTCCTCTAGTCTGTAGTGAAGGTGTGATAGATGACTGAGCCTCAGGTGAGCAGGTGATCGGTGAATGGCCACTCTAAATTTCACTGCAGTCTGTTTTCAGGCATGTGTGCACAGGTATGCATTGTTCTAAGTAAGGTCATCAGTAGTTTCTATGTCTTACATCACTGTTGGTGAGAAGAAGATGACCAGGTGCATGTGGAATTAAGTACGTGTGTGTGTGTGTGTGTGTGTGTGTGTCCTACAGGCATGCTGATTATTATATGATTGACGGCTAAGTTAAAGTTGGATCACATCTCAGAGGTGACATTCAACAACATACTACATGATTTGAAGGACAAATGCATTTTTACACATTATATTTAGTACTGTTATGACTGATAATGGGTTAATGCACTGCTAAGTTTTTTTTCCCCATCACAATATAGCTGTTGAGTTTGTAATCCTAAAACCTGGAAGAGAATTTGCATTTTTAGGTCATGTTTCCTTGGGATTTTTCCTATGGGTTTTTAGAATATCAGTTTCGATTTATGATTCAAATCTGTGGTTAGTATTACCTTTTTTTTTTTACTTTCTCTTCTATTGTACAGCATTAGAAGACATGACTTGTGTAGCACATTAATCATATGAACCACTTTTATGGTGTTTCTTCTGTCCTTTTTATAGCTTGACAGCCAATGTCATTGCATGCTTTCATTGAAGGGAAAAGAGCATCTGTGCAATATTCTTTCACAGATCTCCAGACGTGTTAAAGCGGAGTAAAGTAATGGCAGAATTTAAATGTTGTGATCTGAGATCATTGTTTTATACTTAATTTTGCCTGTTTTTGATAAATAAATAAAAAAACAGATATCTGGTGAGTGCAGACAATATAACCGCAAACTTGAGGTTGTGTGTGTGTGCTAACATGTACTCATGAGTCCACATCTCAACACAGTCTGAAGAGTGAGTTATTCAGTGAGACAGCGAGTCCCAAGAGCACCGTGTGTGTCCACATGATGAACACATAATGCAGTTCTCCCAGTTAACCAGCAATGAGTAGACCTGTCAGACCCATGAACCTCATGGTTACTGCATGATGCTGCCATGACAACACTCCTCAGTGCTGTGTGGGTTAAACGGCCACTCACGCCTGTCATGGCTGCCCAAGCAATGGGGACTAACAACCATTTGGCCCCCTGATAGCACTATAGCATAGGAGGAGAACCGTTGTTAGTGCTCTTATAAAATGTCTGTATGACAAAAGATGCCAATGTTAAATAAATAATAATTTATTAATAATAATCAATTATTCTGTCATGTAATACAATTCATTAGCATAACTGTTGGCTGGCAGGTAGTGCACGTCTGAAATTTTATACTTTTTAATGATCATTTTAGTCTTTTAGTTTTTCGATAAACATATTGAAAACACCTTGAAACATGATATGCTAATAAGAAAATGCTAATTATGTTAGATCAAATATATACTTATATGCAGAGAATATATACTGTTCAAAGATTCGATTCAGTAAAAAAAAAGAGACTCTTATGCTCACTAAGGCCGCTTTTAATTTGATCGTTACAGCTATTATAGCAATTTAAAATAACTAATATATTGTCAAATGTAATTCATTCTTGTGATCGCAAAGCTGTATTTCCAGCATCATTACACCAGTCTTCTTCAGTGTCACATGATCCTTCAGAAATCATTATAATATACTGATTTGCTGCTCAAGAAACATTTCTTATCATTATCAATGTTGAAAAGCTGTGCTGCTTAATATTTTAATAATGAATTGAAAGTTAAAAATAACAGCGTTTGTTTGAAAAAAAAAAAAAAATATATATATATATATATATATTAGTAAATGGCTAATGTCACTTTTGGTAAATTGAAAAACTGGTAAATTTGTTAAAGGGTCACTTCACCCATTTCAACATTAATCTTTATTGAAAGTGGGTCATTTATGTAGTCGAAATGTAAAAGAAATTTTGAATTTGATGCCCTCTTGACCGAGAAAAGACAGAAAATAACTTTAGTGCGCATTTGTATGCAAGACAACAACTCCCACAATGCACCACATTGCACAGCTCCGCAAGCCACTCCCACTAATCCAGAACAGCGCAAACATAAGAGAAATCACTTTTCCGTCTACAAGGTTAGCTGCCACCAGAGTTAGAAATTAATTTCACACAAAATTTCTAGTTAGTTGGCTGTGGCGAGCAGGACGAGGGCGAGGGATGTGATAGGACAGCGCGAGGCCGGTGGCGCGAGTGATAATGAACGACACCTGTGAGACGCACCGGACCGGTGTCTCTCGCGTCTCTCACCGAGGAGCGGACGCATAAAACGAGGAGCGACGACAGGGCAGATCGAGAGAGGAACAGGCCTGATTTTATGTTGTGTTTTGTTTCTGTTGTGTGTGGCCAGCAGTGAGGGGCTGCTCGCTTATATTTTTGTTTCGTATTTGTTTATTTTACTATTAAAATGTTTAAATGTTTGCCGGTTCCCGCCTCATTCTTCCCACAACAACGAACCCCGTTACATTGGCAAACTCATTAGTGAATTACTCCTCGTTTGTATTTCTTTCTATATGGTGAATTATTGCATGATGATGATAAAGTTACCTGGATGTTCAGTCAGAACATATGCGGTGCGAAACTTGGATGGATCACAACACAAACGTCCGTGTGCTCGTCTGATTCAGAGATTTCGTCCAGGAGATATTGCGATCGTTGAAATTCTCTGCAGCAGACGGACTCTATCTGTGTCCGTAGCGCACAGCGAGAGCACGACATGTAGGCACCAGCAGTCCGCCCAGCTCGAGCCAGTCCGGGCTTCTCGTCTGCGCCGGGCTGGTCTCCTGCGGCGGCCGCTGCCGCAGCCGACGCCGCCGCCTCTTGTTCCTCCATCAGCCTCAGCTGCTCTTCGCTATATTGTGGCTCGTATAAATAGCCACGAACATCGGTTTCGAGCAAAAGATTTTCAAAATCCTCGTCTTCCATATCGTGTGTCGTAAATTCAGGCATTATGGTAAATCTAACTCCTTGAGCGCTTGTTAGCTTAGCTTGCTGTCTTCCAAGCAAGATGGCGGATTAATAGTTTAGTTTCTTCAGGTTTAGTCCCACCCACTGATCTGTAATAGGCCGGTGGGGTGAGTGGGTCCCACGCCCTTGAATAATAATGAGCTAAAGGCTGTAGTTTTCTTAATATGCAATGAAATTTATCTTCCGTCCTATCGTGACGCAAAATGACGATATTTACGTCACGATAGGACGGAAGTAAAACACTTAAATCCTTTTTTCTCCCATCTCAGAAAAAAAACAAGCAAAATTCCACCATCATTATAATATATGACTGGGTTTCTAACAATACAAACCTTAATGCAAATGGGTGAAGTGACCCTTTAAATTCCTTAATTTCTTTCAAAAAATCATTGTAGGCTAACAGAAGTGTATCTACGTCTTAAAACACAATTTACTCATGAGAAAATCTAAATTGTTATGACCAAATATAGAATTGTTTCTTTATATATTTTTTCTTACCACCTTGGCAATTTTTTCTTTTCTTGTTTTAAGCATAAATCCAACTAAATTTATAGAGATTTGTGCTTAAAGCAAGAATAACTATATACCCATGTGGTAAAAATGTTAAACCTACTTCAAGATGTATTTTCTGAAATCGTAATATCTTGTACAGTGTACTTTTTGAACACATTTGGGGTTGTTTAGTTATTTGTACTAAAAAACAAATAAAAATACAGAAAAATAATTTTTTGTTCAGTGTAGGTATGTAGTGCATGTGGTTTGAGAACAGAGGCTCTTACTGTAGTTTGCTCATTACAGGATGCAAGGATCCAGGGCTTTCAGCAGTATGTGTGTGTGTGTGTGTGTGTGTGTGTATCTGTGTTTGTAATGGAACGGATCTGGCTTTTGACTGATGTGCTGATAGTGATGTGAAACTCTTGGAGCACATTTTTGGCACTTGAGTGAAGGGACACTGCTGTGATCTGGCTTAAAGGATTCCAGTGTGTGTGTGTCTGTGCTGTTGACAGTTTCATTCTGCTAAACTCTGCTGTGACCTGACTTCAGAGATGTATTCGCTACGCTCCAGAGAGAGATACAGTGTGTGCGTATCGGTGGCCCTCTGAAGTCCTTCCACTCTGCAATGGCTTTGGTCTCAGGGCCCACTTAAGAAGTGACTGTCATGTCGTATGACCCACTTCCTGTCCTGTCCCACAGCACTGGCCACCACTGGCCCCAAAAACCTCAAATACACCAAAGCCACTACAGTTCCCCAGCCTGAACGCTGCAACCATTTCAATCTCTCTCATTTTTTTTTGAGGTGGTTAAAGTTCAAGCAGACCTTTTGCATGATGTG